CAAAAGATAAATTGGGAGACGCACTTCGCTCATCTGTATGGTAAGCCCAGCAGGTCTGATCCTAGAATCAGAGAGTGAGGGAATAGTTACCGAAAACTGGAGAAGTAAGACGTAACACCAGAAATGAATGCTTTTAATCCGAATAACGCACGCCTATGCGACATACTAACGTGAATTAAACGATTTTTTTCAAGATAGCATGCGATGATGCGAAGTACTGAACTGACCAGAAATGAATGCTTTTAATCCGAATAACGCACGTCTATGCGACGTACTGACGTGAATTAAACGCTTTTTTTCAAGATAGCATGCGATTATGCGAAGTTCTGAACTAGCCAAAAATGAATGCTTTTAAACCGAATAACGCACGCTTATACGACGTACTGACGTGAATTAAACGCTTTTTTTCAAGATAGCATGCGATGATGCGAACTACTATACTAAGGAGAAATGAATGCTTTTAATCCGAATAACGCACGCCTATGCGACGTACTGACGTGAATTAAACGCTTTTTTTCAAGATAGCATGCGATGATGCGAACTACTGAATTAAGTAGAAATGGATGCTTTTAATCCTAATAACGCACGCCTATTTGACGCACTAACGTGAAATGAACGCTTTTGTTACGTCCCGGGGTGTCGCGGAGCTACAGGGTAGTCGGACACGACAGGACTTGATCGCTTTTTCGGGTCAAGCAAACCTACGCGGTTCTTCCCGGGGATACGCGCGATCTGAATAACTCGGACTTAATCTTCCGATTCGGAGCCGGTGGATTCTTCCTCGGGGGATGCAATGGGAATTATAATGCTACCGTCTTGGTTAGGGGAAAAATTCGCGGAACGCGAAAGGTAATCAATGTATTGTTGTGAGCACTCCCGCACTCGTCACTGACTCTGCATCCACTTAATCGACTACCGCAGGAATTACAGGCGACTCCAATACATTCGCCAATTACGAGTTGATGTTTAATTATATATGAGTATTGTTGATGTTCTCCCGACGGCAGGGAGTAGTAACAAACAGGGCAAAGTGCGTTTCTGGTTATATCATGGGAAAATCCGCACGCCTTTTGACAATAAGCTAGGGGTTGTTCGAGGGGGGAGAAAGGGGGGGAGTGGATAAAATTCTTAAATCCGTGATGACACATTAGGGGAAGTATGAATTTAACGCGAAAAGTGCTTAGAAAGTTGGTTTTGCCGAGAAAATCGGATCGGAAAGCGAATTTTCGAAAACTGGGTCATCGAGAAAATTTATCTAGGTCACTGGGCTGTCGGATTAAATCCCAGAACTGGAAGTAGGTCACTGGGTCACTAGGTCAAAATATATAGGTCACGCGTTAAATGCCAAAGCGAAAGTAGGTCACTAGGTCGTCGGATTAAATCCCAGTGAATCAAACTTTAGAAAACGCGTTTCGGGGCCGAATTAAACCGCGAATCGAATTAATTCGACGACAGGGGAGTCTCTGATGACTATTTATTAGCGTTAATATCAATTTTGTTGCTCTGATTCCACGGGATCGCGTTTTATCCGCGGCACGGCGTTGGCGATTTAATTCCGATGTGTATGAGGCGCGTTGGGATGTGTCTCGGCGCCGAAGGGTCGGGGCGCGGTCGTAAATTTTAGGAGACAAAGGGCTCGACGAACGCGTTCGAACAAGATTTTCTTACCTTCGAGAAGATTCTAGAAGTTTCCTCAGGATCGCTCGGCTTCCTGCTTGCTGCCGTGATTGATTAAGACACGTGATGCACCTCGTGGGTCTCCAGGGAGGGTGGTGGCAGGCCGGAATGGGGTGACGTCTGTATCGATGGGTGTGAGCTTCTCAGGCCACACAGTATTGCACTTCACTTTCGAATTGTTTGCAATTAATTGTTCGTATTCCGGATCTAAATAATTATCAATGATGCGCGTATAGCGATCCGCGGAGCACTCGTAATGGCGACGTAGTCGGCGTAGTTGGTTCTTTCTCCCGGCACGGCGAGTTTTAGGCATTATGATTTAAATAAATAAAAAAACATTCTTGGATTTATTATTGCTTAGCTATTACTCGATGTGCGGTGGTCCTCACTGATCAAGAATATTTCAGCTATATCTGTGAGCGGTGGTCCTCTCTGACAGATAGAATAAGTCCAAGATTGCGATATTGATTATTGTATTTTAAACAATTGGATGATTCTTGGATTAATCGTAGCTTCGCTATTGTTCAATGTGCGGTGGTCCTCACTGATTGAAAATATCTCAGCTATATCCGTGAGCGGTGGTCCTCTCTGACAGATATCGATGGTCCAAGATCACAATGTTATTTAGAATTTACTACAAATGAATGCGTGCCTGGTGAGAAATCTCAACTAAATGCAAGGTAGGATTCGATAAATAATCACGACGTTGATATATCAAATAAAAGAAGAATATATTCTAGACACTGGTATATATGAGCTTGTACAAAAATCTTAAAGTTAGAGTTTGACTTAGAATTTAGAGTTAGATTTAGAAATTGGAATTAGTATTAGAGTTCCGCTTGGGAGCTAGATCTTTTCGGTTCGAAGTCACGATGTCGACTGGCTGAGACTGGGCCCGCTCTGAGGTCCCTTGATTTCGGCGGCTCGGCCGCTGCGGCGGTCGAGAGTGGGGAACTCCGAGAGAGAGGGGCCCGAGATGAGCGCCATCTCTCGGCGTTCGGCGGAAGCTTATACTACTGCGGCGCCGCGCTCGGCCGCAGGATGAGGTTCGGTGTCATGGCGCGCCTAGGCGCGTGATTCAAACGCGCTAGAATGGACTTAGTCGTTTTTGCAGTGAAATTCGCGGAAAATTTAGGCGCGGGATATAACACCTCCCCCCTTAAAAATAAAATGTTGGGCCATGGCCCAGCATTTTGCGCTTAAATTTAACATGCATTTACTTAGGTTAGTTTTCGCTCTTAGCTCGCAATTTTACCTTTAGGCGGAGTTACAAAGACGTACTAAAACTAAAGTTCTACCGCAATTTTACTTCTATCTTATTTCTAATCATATTATTTAGGTTTTATTCTACTCGCCGTCGACTAACAATTTACGCAGTTCGCTATTGTTCTTTTTCACTTCACTTCCTCGGGGTTTGTGGGCCAGGGGATAGAGTTCGTCCGAGGCTGAGTGGGTTTCAGGGGGTAGATTTTCGTGGGTCGTGGGAGGGCTCTTAGGGGGGCGTTGGTTTCTGCGGTCCACTCGCTGGTTTGGCGTCCCTAGGTGCAACAGCAGGTGCGTCACCGATGTCCAGACTGCTCCTAATAGATGGAGGCTCCACCCGTATATCGAGTGTAGAGCGTAGCCATGGATGATGGTGTCCACTATTAATTTTATTAATCGGATTATTATGAAGATTCCTATTACTCCGGCGCTGGCTGACCCGAACGTAATGAATCCTTTCCATAATTTTTGTCCTGCGTTCTCCGCTATTCGATCCAGTGATTCTTCATCCAGAAGGTTTAGCATAGTTATGCTTCCTCGGGGAATTTCCCGTCCCATAGCGCCTCTTGCTATTGTATTCAGCATTGAGGGTTTTTCCATGGGAAACATTATGTGGTCTCTGAGCCTGTCCAAGTCTTCACTTGTATAGATGCCGCTAGTGGCGAGAGAGGAGGGGCTCAGGTATTTCCAGGTGGGCTTTGTTAGCGGCTGGATGATGGAGGGGGTTGCTGCTTCCTGCGGTCGCGGAATCGGTCTGTACCAGCTGCTTGTATGTCGTACATCACTGGCAGAATTCGTTGCAGTCTCTTGCGTGCCCTTTTTGGTGAGTATTCTTGTTCTTGGGAGCATGAAGAATGTCTGGTTCTTGTAGCTTACTGGAAATCTCATTGTAGCAATTTTCCGTTGGTCGTTCTCGGCATTCAACTTCTAAGCACTTTTCGGTTAAATTATACTTCTCCTAATGGTCATCACGGATTTAAGAATTTTATCCACTCCCCCCTTTCTCCTCGAAACCCTAGCTATTGTCAAAAGGCGTGCGGATTTTCCATGATATACCGAAACGCACTTTGCCCTGTTGTTACTACTCCTGGTCGGAGAACACCAACAATACTCATATATAATTAAACACCAACTCGTAATTGGCGAATGTATTGGAGTCGCCTGTAATTCCTGCGGTAGTCGATTAAGTGGATGCAGAGTCAGTGACGAGTGCGGGGAGTGCTCACAACAATACATTGATTACCTTTCGCGTTCCGCGAATTTTTCCCCTACCAAGACGGTAGCTTATAATTCCATTGCATCCCCGAGGAGAATCCACCGGCTCCGAATCGAAGATTAAGTCCGAGTTATTCAGATCGCGCGTATCCCCGGGAAGAACCGCGTAGGTTTGCTTGACCCGAAAAAGCGATCAGTCCTGTCGTGTCCGACTACCCTGTAGCTCCGCGACACTCCGGACTAACCTGCTAGTGCTTTGCAATGTATCCCAGAAGGCAGGATTAACTCGTTTGCGTTGCGGTCGACTACTGCTTCAAAATCTCGTAGGGTTACTTTCACGATAGCTTGGGCGACTGCGTCTTCCCAGGTCCCGTAGGCGTCTGAGTATTGAGTTCCCTTGCAGCTTCCGTCCATTCCGGTGGTACCTGCGAGGGTGACGCTTCGTATGTCTGTGCTGTTTCTTTTGAAGGATTGGAGGATGCTTTTCCGTCCTGTCCCGATGTCTATGGTTCCGGTATTCTGCAGTTTTTTGCAGATGGGCTCGTTGAGTTCGATCGTGTATTGGCGGCGTCCTCCTCGAACTATTGAGACGTGGGAATGCATCCCACATTGTATCACATGAGTGCGATCGTAAGTTGATTGTTGTAATAGTTGTACGTAAGTAGTCTCTTTCTTAGGTTCTATATCGTCGACGGCACATTTGCCTATGTCCAAGAGCGATAAGGTGGTGATATTCAGTCCTTGTCCTCCGCAATCATACCCGATGAGGCAGTACGATGCAGCAGGTAGCGACAGGATCAAGGCGGTGATACAGAACCAGTGATCCATGGTGAATGCGGCGACCTTCACGCTTCGGTGTCTGGCGGAGTTATAGTCGGTCCTCCGTCCGGCTTCCGTTGATATGGTGGTTCTGGAGTGGGGGAATCTTCCGTGGTGGGGGCGTCGTGGGGCGAGTGCTTGAGTTTATCTACATGTACTACACGGGTTCTGGTGGCGCTAATAGCTAGTTTTACATTATGGTTCTTACGAACTTCTAAAATTCTATAGGGGCCTACGTACTGGTCCCCTAGTTTCCCTTTGGAGGGTTCTCTAAGGAGGTATACGCTATCGCCTACCTTAACGTTACAAGCCTTAACTTTACGGTCATAATATCTTTTGGATCTCTCTTTGGCGCGTGTTAGGTTTTCGCGTGCGATGTCTTGTGCGTCTTTAATCCTATTAAAGAGTGTTGAGAGATATTCGGTATAACTTTCGTTCGTTGTGTCTGTGATAGCGGGGTCGCTCGTGGGAGTTCGTGCCATTTTACCGAACACGAGCTCGTGCGGAGTATACAAGGTGCCTTCGTGAACACTTGTATTGTATGAGAGGGATGCGGGTTTTAAGCATTTATCCCATTCGCTATTTTTGTCTACAAATTGCTTCAGGTATTCCCACAAGACTTGGTGCGATCTTTCGACTGAACCGTTGGCTTGTGGTCTATACGCTGTGGTTTTACAGTGTTTAATCTTAAATTTACGCGCGACGTTTCGCATAAGACTATTTAGGAAGTGCAGTCCTTGGTCGGTCAGGATTGCCTTGGGAGCTCCGAAAATACATATAAATTCATTAGTGAGCGCATCGGCTACTTCTATGGCTCCGGCGCGTTGGAGCGGTATCGCGAGAGAGTATTTAGTTAACAGGTCCTGTATAGTAAGTATGTAAGAATTGTTTGAATGTGTCGTTGGTAAAGGACCCATGATATCCATGGAGATTTTGTCGAAGGCGGAGTCAGGGGTGTCGGTAAGTATCATAGGTTGTCGAGTTTTTGTTCTTACTAATTTTTTTAATTGGCAAGCGCGGCAATTCTTTATATATAATTCAACGCTCGCTTTTATTCCTGGCCAATAATATCTCTTTTTTATGCGGTTATACGTCTTCGTAACACCCTTGTGTCCGCCTACGGCAGAGCAATGGTTCTCCGAGAGAATTTGCTGTCTGTTTCCTTCTGCTGGTATGGTAATATCATTTTTACAAACGAAAATTTTAATTCTGGTTTCGCTCAGGATTCGAATAATTTGCATGTATACTGTTTCCCAGGATACATTATCAATGTTGCCTCTGGCAATAGAGATCGATTGTAGATCGAGTTCGGTGACGACGTCTAGCAAGGAGTGGATTGTTTCCTTAATAATCTCCTTTTCCGTTATTCCTGACACTCTATCTTTGACGATTAAAGATATGATTCGTCGCGAGCCATTCCGGTCGACGCGGGCTCTGCCTAGTGTCGCGTCTCTAATTAAAGGTAATGAATTCGTTTCTGCGAGCATGCGAGCCCCTTGGTCGATCGGGATGCCTTGCTGCGTAGTGAAAATAACAAGGTTATCGCGTCGCGTGGTGAAATTGTCGGGGATCGTTATTATGTTAGGTCCCGTTGGATTTCGTATAGTGGCGGGTTCGTTCGGGTTTTCGAGCACTTGTTCGTCGTCATCGGACTCGGAGCTACTTTCATATTCTGTGTCGCTTTTGGTGCCGAGTTCGCTTTCGCTGTTTACATATTCTTCAGCTTCGTTTAGCTGCTCGCAGGGCAAGGTCGGGGGTGTTTTTTCCGCATTGGTCGGCGTGCCGCTTTCGTTAGTGCCCGGTTTTGGCACTGTGGAAAATAGAGATTCATCTGACTCGGCTGACAGAGGTTCATTTTCGAGGACTAGGATTTGAGAGTTTCCTCTGGCGGATATAGGGATGGGGTTTCGCGAAAGTGCGTCCGCGTTTACATTAGTCTTTCCCGCTTTGTACGTTACCTCATACTCGTACTCGGCCAATTTTAAACGCCAGCGGACGAGTCGAGAGGTAGGATCCTTTACAGAGTGTAGCCACACGAGTGGCTTATGATCCGTCACTAGCGCGAACTTTCGTCCATATAGATAGGGACGAAAGTGGTTCACGCAATACACAATAGCGAGAAGCTCTTTCTCTATTGTGGAGTAATTTTTTTCTGCGTCATTAAGCAAGCGTGACGCATAGGCTATAGGTAAATCTTTTCCAATGGTTCCCTGACTTAGTATCCCGCCTATGGCGTATCCCGAGGCATCGGTTGTGAGAACGAAGGGTTTGGTAAAATCGGGATACTGCAGGACGGGTTGCGTGCACAGGGAATCGCGGAGAGTGGTGAACGCTTGTTCCTGTTCCGGGTTCCATTTGAATTCACGATCCTTCTTTAGTAATTCCGTGAGGGGGAACGCGAGTTTGGAAAAATTCGGGATAAATTTACGATAGTAGCCCGCGAGGCCCAGGAATTGTTTAATGTTTTTTGCATGCTTTGGCCTGGGGAAATCCCTTACTGCGCGGATCTTTTCGGGATCCGGTTTTACGCCTTTGTCGCTGATAATGTGGCCTAAATATCCGACTTCTTTTCTCAGAAATTCACATTTGTCGGGCTGCAGTCTTAGGTTGGCTTTCTTTAATCTCTCCGCTAATTTATTGAACTTGAGTTCATGTTCGCGTAGGGAGCTCGCGTATAACACAATGTCATCGAGATAGACGAAGAGCTCGGCTCCTTGCAAACCCGATAGGACTTGGTCCATGAGTCGTTGGAACGTTGCGGGTGCGTTCTTCAAGCCGAAGGGCATACGGTTGAATTCGTAGTGCCCGTGGGGAGTGGAGAACGCGGTTTTCTTCGCATGCGTTTTATCCATAGGTATTTGGTGGAAACCGGATGCGAGATCGAAAACGCTGAAATATTTTGCACTGCCTAGTTGATCCAGTATTTCGGCGATATTTGGTAGAGGGTACGCGTCGCCTATGGTTTTTTCGTTTAGCGCGCGGTAGTCTATCACCATGCGCCACCTCTTGTTACCCTTAGAGTCGGGTTTTTTGGGACTATCCAGAGAGGGGAGTTATAAGGGGAATCGGATGGTTTAATAACGTCGTTATTTAGGAGTTCAGTGATTTGTTTGTTTATTTCTTCCTTATGGATTGGTGGGAAGCGGTATTGTTTTGTGTTGATGGGGTGTTCGTCGGTCGTGGGAATTTTGTGTGATATGACAGCAGTGTGTTCCAGCTTATCGGTCGGTAATCGAAATAGGCTGTCATGGTTTAGGATTAGTTGCGATACGTGGTTGGCTTCTTCTTGGTTCAAATGTTCTAAGCGAAGCGAGTCTCGGATAGCTTGAAGTCGGACATGATTTTCCGAGATTGGTTTGGCAGAAACCGCCAGGATTCCACTGGTTGTGTGTTCGGCTTCGCTTTCAATGAGCGGGTCGCTCGACGCGGTCTCTATCTCCTGTAGCTCGACCGTCGGTATGGTCAATTTCTTGTCCGTATCGCCGGAATTCACCGCGTGTAGGTATGCCTTACCGTTTTGGTTCGTCACTAGTGCTTCTCCCAGGTAGACATCCTTGCAGACGCTAAGTCGCGGGATGTATCCTGTCGTGACTCCCGGGTTTCGTATCTTGACATAGAAGGTTGCGCGTGATCTGGCGGGTATAACGAGAGTCTCGTGCTCTGCAAAAGGTATCTGGGTTCCTTTCCACGAGACGTACTTTTCTTTCAAGTGTATGGTTGAGGCTCCTCGGAGGAAATCGTTCCCTAGGATACCTTCTTGTGGTATCGGGAAGTTATCGTTTACTACGTGTAGTTCGAGAGGGTGGCCTTTGTATTGAATTTGTATGGACCCGATTGTTTCGATCTTACCTTCTGTTATGCCGCTAAGGTATAACTTGTCGGTGTTATAGATCTCAGTTTCGGGATGTATGTTTCGTCTTTTGACGAGATTAGGAGAGGCGCCCGTGTCTACTAGAAAAATGGTTTCTTGTAGGAGCCCGTCAGCGGCTAACGCGACGGTGGGAGCGCTTGTGAAGCTTTGTGGATGTAGAGTGGCTATTCGGTGTTCCAACGGAAGTCGCTTCGATCGGGTTTACCGGGCGTATTTCGCGTGTCGGGGCCCTTGGCGAGTATCGCCCGTCGGTCTCGCGGGGCCCTGCAGGTTTCCCTGGTCGTTTTGCCGGGCATTATTATAGGCGCGTTTACGGCACTCATCGATTTCGTGCCCGAAATTTTTGCAATATCTACATTGCTTTTGGCTCGTCTCCGGGCGGCTTGCTGTTCTCGGGGGAGGATCGCGCGGTGTATTTGTTAAGGAAATTACTGACGCCGGGTACTCTTCTCGCGGCGCGTTGGATGCCGGTTTCGCGGGATATTTTGCGGTCCTGTTGTAATTGTGCGATTGTTTAATTTGTCGGGCTTGTCGCCTGGTCGATCTAGTTCCTGTTCGTGTGGGTGGGGGTGCGTATGCCCTCCTGTTGTATTTGGTTCCGCTTCATAATTTTTAATCGCGGTGCGAATCGAGTCTGTCCAATTCCTGTTCCTTCGCATTATTTCCGGCCGAAAACTTCAAGGGTTATATAGCTCTCTCCCATTTGTACCGAATTTCCAATGGTAGTCCTTTGCAAATGATCGGGTTAGCAAGTTTTATTCGGCTTCCTAGCAGGTGCCGTTGTTGCTGGTATCGTTTCCCGGCATTATCTTTCCTCTGGCAATATAGATCGATTGTAATCGAGTTCTGAGGTCTGCAAGGGTGGATTGTCTTCAATTCGCTTTTCCTATCGATCTTTTTGACGGCGTTTAAGGTGATCAGTGGGTATATTGTCGAGGCCTCTCACGCCTGTAGGCGCGCCGCGTAATTAATATGTAGTGAGTTCCTTTCTGCGAGGTATTATTTCCTTGGCACGGGCATGCCTTGTAAACGGGATAAGGTTATTCCGTCGACGTGGTGACGAGTTCGTCGGCCGGAAGTTACCTTAGGAGATCGTGTGTTCCTAGGCGAGGTCGTTGTTTCGGCTTGTTCGTCGTATCGTCGAGCATTCTTTCCGAATGTCGCGTTTGGTCGAGTTCTTCGCGGCTGTATCATTCTCGCGCGTTTCTACTTCGCGCAGTCATCGTTGTTCCGCCTCGGTCGCGTTGCCGCGTTTCTTTTGCCCGTTTATCGGCACTGTGGAAATGAGATCTCGCACGTTTCTTCGTAGTTTTTCCTTTCTTAGGGAGCGCGGTTTCCTTCGTCCGTCTTTTCTTAAGTTTGTTTGTATCGTTTCATTTCGTCTCGGTTTGCCTGTTTTTTCATGCGAGTATCCTTTAAATGAATTCTACGAGTTTTTGATCCACGCTGTCACCAAATTTGTTACGTCCCGGAGTGTCGCGGATGTTACGTCCCGCAACAAAAATATTATAAGCATAAATTTTTTCTTTACTTTTCTATTTCTTTCCTTATTTCAATAATCAAATATTATTCAACTCATATTTTATTCAATATATACATATTAAACCATGATTAATTCGTTCGTTATTATATATATTCAACAAATAAAATCGTATACTAGTAGAACTAACCGCATAGCCAGACACATAATAGAAGTAGATTATATATATACACAAACTAAAGGAACAACAAAATGAACCTGACCATTGTTGTCAAAATTTATATCAAGGAAATACATAATGGAATTAAAAATCGATGCATACCAATATATTGATTTATTTATTTAAATAATTATACAATAACTCCCGATGACAGTAAATCATTTTGTTGAGCCAAATAAATAAGAGAAAATACTTATGCTTACTTATATTATTCATCGCTTTCTATAGAAGTACTATAGTATAGACTGACGATATATAGTCTCCTTCCAACGTACATGCAAGGCTCCATCTGAAAAGAATGAATTATTCAATCTATATATACTGACAAGGTAATTATAATTTTAATAACTCTGTAGAAGCATCATTTAAGCTAGTTAAAGAATGATTATTACATTGATAATCTCAAATATAAAATATAAAAACTAAAGCGAATATGCACGAACCTATACATGAGACTTTTAGAAATATAAATCTTAATAATTCAATCTTACAAAATGAATATAAAGCGCGAATATAAAATTAATAAATGATTTTCATAAAAGTACCTACGCAAGTTTCAATATAGAATATGCATGATCGAATTAGCAACTGTCTCGAAAGGAAATACTTACGAAAGAATATAGCAGAGTAAAAGGCACCACATAATAGTAACGCCAAGACTTATACTCGCAGTCGTGGTCGTCTAATTGTCTGAAAATAAATTTAATAAGGAATAATAAATGATCTTAAATAAAACTAATAATTAATATTAATAAATTCATAACGAAATTATATGCTAAACGACTTGTATGATATTTCAAAATTATTAAAGTCAATAAGAAATGAATATAAGAATAAATGAATAAATTTTATACTTAACTCTTTGTCTCATGCAAAAATTATAAGAGCCTTATAATGCTCGACCAAGGTCAGCCTCGCATGATTCGTTATCTCCCCTTCATCCGGTGTGCATAGCGTCATGCGTAGCTGCATCATCCAGCTTAGTATACGGCCTAGAGAATAAGAGTTATAAATGAGGAGAATGAATATAAGAATATAACTTTAGAAGAGACAGTATTAAACCAGCCAACGAATGGTAATAAATTAATAAGAGACATGCAACTAATTAATAAAAATTAAAGGAGAGAACATGTGCATATAAGAACAATTATTCTCAGGTATTAAAATTATTTTAATCCATTTAACAAAGCCTATGTAGAAAAGACAATCAATATGCATATAACTGCTCATGGTACATTAAAAATTTATAACGAGAATAAAATAGCATGCGAGAATTATAATGCGTTAAGACAGAGCGGACGCGCGATTTATCTCCCCTAATGTTTTTCGCGCCGGCCGACTTATCTCCCCCTCGGTATGCGAGTCTTATATGAAGAAGACTTCGAAGTGAAAAGTCTTTCAAGCGTGAAATAAAATTAATCCAACATACTGTGCGTTACATATATAACTTTTGTAACACATATACATATGCAAATTTAAAAATTACAATATACAATTTGAACATAGACAAAAATGAAGATACAATAAAATAGAATATTATAATTTCATATACTCACTGACAGTAAAAGAAATGATTTAAACATTATAAAAATAACGCATATATATATATGTGAATATTCAACGTCATTATATGCGAATAAATTATTCAAGCTTATAAGAGCGTCGCAAATAAGTTGAAGCGCAACTTATCTCCCCTTCATGTTTGTTATCTCCCCTATTGTCTCGAGCCCAAGTATTAAGACCAAGAGGACTTAAGAATAATAGCCCAAGAGTATAATAGCATGCATATGATTTGTTCTCAATCTCAATAAGAATATTACTAAGTCTTTAATACTTATTAATATTGCTAATTAATAATATAAAATATTTTAAAGCTCTTAAACGTATGAACGTACATACACATATATACATACGCGAAATAAATTTTGAAGTCAAAGGACTTAAAAGACTATTGAAAGAATATTGCATGCAATTATTAAAAGAATAAAAGAACAAAGCATATTAAGAAAGTTTTTACCAAGTGACTTCATTATCTCCCCTTCGTTCAGTGCAACTGCACTAAGAGCTTATCTCCCCTTCATCCGGTCGCCGTATTCTTCGTCCGCTGCAACAGATTAAAATAATATTATAATTCCGAGCGTTCAATATTAATTATTATTTCATTATAAAATATTGTCTTCACGAAAATTATTATTGTTAACAACTGTCGATTTACTAAATCTTATACTACCACATTTATATATACAAATATTATTTTCTAACATTAACAATGTAATTATAA